TGGGATGGGTAATATTACATACTAATGTCCTATGAAATAATGGAAACAACTCACTGCTTTACCTTCATAACTTGTACACTTCTCCAAGCCTAATTGGAATGATCAAGTCAAGGAGGATGAGATCTGTAGGGCATGTAGCATGAATGGAGGAGAAAAGGAATGCATATTGGTGGAAAAACCAGAAGGAAAGAGGCCACTGGAAGGCCAAGGCGTAGGTGTGTAGACAATATGAAACTGGATCTTAGAGAGATAGGTTGGGATGGTGTGACTGGATTGATCTGGCTCAGGATAGGGACCAGTGGAGGGCTCTTGTGAACACGTTTATGAACCTTCGGGTTCTATAAAATGCTGGAAAGTTCTTGAGTAGCTACACAACTGGCGGCTTCTCAAGAAGGGCTCAGCTCCATGAGTGAGTGAGTGACTTATTGTCTTACCTTGGCCTACAATAAATATTCTTCTTACTCAGCCCTTTATATTCTCAAAGATTTAGTAAAGGAAGGTAAAAATTGTAAAGCTATCCTCGTAAAACTCCGTGGAGGCCTAAAGGTTTGTGAGACGTCGATGCCACAACATTTTCTAGACAATCGGCTCACAGATGGCGGTAAGGTTATCAGCTTTACGCCCCAACTGCCCTTTACCCCTAAGAAGATTCCTGGTACTCATTTCTGTTAGAGGCTGAGTCGATCCCAGGGCCGTAATGCGGATGGAAGGATTAAATCAACTGGAAAATCTTGATGTTATGGTGAAGAGAAAAATCTCGAACCCCTGTCGAGAATCGAACTTCGATTCCTCGGTCCATCAGCTGGTAGCCCAGTCGATATACGGAATGACAGCTATTTTATAATTATGTTGTCATTAGGAACATGTTGTGGGCATTCCAATACATCTCAGTGCTGTGTGAGCACTGCATACAGAGCAGAAGACAGCTTAATCATGGAATAAACGTTAATTACCTACACATGTTGAGCGTGGAGTCCCTCCGGTTTTCAATTAAATTCAACCATGAAGACTGTAATGAACAAATTTAGGGGCGTATTTCAGAAGGATAATAATTATTTTCGTAAGAACGTCTACAAAACTTCAAGCAGCAGTAAATTCAAGCGGCCACGGGCCTCCTACTCCTGCGTTTCGCAAATTAACCGGGTTGCCTAAGCAACTGGCGATCGTAGTGCGTGACTGGAGGACTAACAAAACAGTTAACACAGCCACTAACAGACTCACGTCTCATTCTGCAGTTAATCAAAATAAATGACAAACGAAATAACTAACAGGATGCAACAGATTTCTATTTTAGAAGCTGATAGTCACACATCTAGTAAAGAAATTTCCTCACTTTATTGAGTATTAAAGTTTATTTCGATGTTCACATGAATCAGCTTCTTGCCTATATCCTGAGCCAGATGAATCCAGTACGTAACTTCTCACCGTATTTTTCAAAACAGTTTTAATATCATCCTCTTATATATATATAGGTTTTCCACGTGGCTTTCTTATTTAGGCATCCTAATAAAAGCTTTATACGTAGTGTCATCATTCCCATCCGTGCTACATGCCCAATTCTTTATCATAGCCACTCTTATCCTATGGTATAACGACAACACTTTGCCTCGTATTCGGGAAGCACTCGGTTCGATTCTCATCCGAGATACCTGCTATCTCAATTTATGATTATGGTAAATTTACTCAGCCCCCTCCACGCAAATTCCTGTAGTGACTTAGATAGGCCGCGACCGCTTCCTTCCAAATCTTTTCCAGTACATTATTCGTCTATTATCACGCTGTACGGTAAAAGTTCTAGACTCTGACAGCGTCGTAAATTAACCCGCCCTGAAATGGAACCTTTTTTCAATTGACCTAATCCTTCCGGCCGCACTGTGGCCCTAAGGTCGACTCAGCCTCTGACAGAAATGAGTACCAGGAATCTTCCTGCCAGAGGGTGAAGATTACGACCTCACCGCTAATTGTGAGCCGATTGTCTAGAAAATGTGGGAGCCTCGACGTCTCACAATCCTATGGGCTTCTACGGCCTGTTACAGGGATAGTTTTACTTTACTAAATTAAATCTACGTTCTGACAGGAATATCGACGCTGGACTGCGGACCACTGTTTAATAACCTGATAAGTATTTTATGAGGGAGGGGGGAGTAGAGTATACTCATAATTGCGTTATTACAGGTTCGTATTATGAAGTGGCCATGACTTCAGTGGCTAATGCCATTTCGGGCACGATTTGCCCGTTCGCATGGCTCTTGGGCTCGGAAGGTGTGCGCCAGCTGTTGAGCTCTGACGAACCGTAACAAATCACTAAGCTAATTGCACTTGCAATTTCGCTTTCAGATGTAATGCAACTGCCCCGAAAAGCAGCGCTCAGAGTAAAACTGCGATAAACGACTATTTTTATCAATTTGTGCGTTAGCAATAATAATAATAATAATATAAGATAAAGGTAAAGTTGTCCCTGTGCTTAACTAACAGCACCACGCCATGAAGGCGTATGGGGGAGTGGATGTATAGATCCAGATTTTCTTGACCTCGGCAGTAGTTGGAGGTGAGTGCTCATCTTCACGCCCCGGCCGCTTTACTCCCGGGGAAAGAGCCCCTGGTACTCATTAGATAGGAGGTTGGGCGAACCCCAGAGCCGGCCTGGACGACGTGGAGAAGAGAAAATGCTTGACCATACCGGGACTTGAACTCCGACCCCTCAGTTATGGAGCCCGTTCCCAGTCCCTATACTGACTGAGCTATACCGGCTCATAACAACAACAATAATATTAATAATAATAATAATGCTATGGCACCTCCATCTAGTGCCGAGGTCAAAATTGGTGGAGCTATACTTCCACACCTTCATATGTATTCATAGCATAGTGCTTAATTAATAAGCACCAGTGAACTTACAACTGAAATACTATTCATAAACACTAAAAATCTCAGTGATTTAAGTGCCTCATGCCTATCTTGCAATAATTTTAGTAGCTATAGCTAAGAGTTTGATAACAATTCAGATCATTAATTAATCCCCGCCAGCATCTAAAATTTGTAAACACGTAAATACGTACTAAATAAACAAATACAAAAAAAATAGGAAGAGAGAAAGATAAAGGAAACATGACAGTAAACTAAACATGATTACATAAAGAAGATGTGTCCTTCAGGGAAAGTGTTTTATTTTTGAAGACCTCAAGGAGCTGCAAACTTTATTAGAAGCGTTGAGAAGCAGGACTGAAGGGCTGTATCGAGCATTTATGCTTGCAGTAAAAGTGGACGAATCCCTAATCAATTTAACGGATATATGGAGCCTAATATTTCCTAGTTTATTTTCTTCTGAAGAATACTGAGAAAGGACTGGAGCTTAATAATGATAAATACGCAGTACGGAGCATGAGGCAAGTGACAGGGACGCTGCCACTAGTAGTCATAGGCGCCACTGGTAGCCTCTTAAAATAGTTCCTGCATTATATCTTCGTAGAAATTCACAGTAAACAGCCCAGCGCAGAGCTGCAGAAGATGACCCTTCTGGGAACAGCGCACGTCCTGAGGGCGATACTAACGTAGCAATTAGGTTAATTCAGCTCGTTTTCCACGAAGCCATTACGTGACGAGGGACAAGATATGACCTTGGTTCACGGACACAATAGTCCGTGATATAATGTGAAAATAAACAATTATTTACCGTATTTATGTCAGAAAGATGAAGTCTCTGTACTTAGTTAAGCACAATACCATGAAGGCGTAGGGGGTATGGAGTTACAGCTCCACATTTCTTGACCTCGACAGTGGATGGAGATGAGTGGTCAGCTACACACCCCCGGCGAAAGAGCCCACGGTACCCCTATGATAGGAGGTTGGATGGACGCCAAAGTCCATCAGGACGCTGTGTGTAAGAGAAAATTCTTACACTGACGGGAATGAAACCCGGCCCTTCAAGCAGTAGTCCGAGATTGTACCGCCTGAGGTACTTCATTTCCGTTATATATAAGTAAAATCGTACAATATTTATTGTAAATCACGTGACATATTTCCTGCAATATTGAGTGAAGCCACTTCGTTAGTAACAATGAATGCTAATGGACAAATATAACAAGACAGCAAGTTGNACCGTATTTATGTCAGAAAGATGAAGTCTCTATACTTAGTTAAGCACAATACCATGAAGGCATAGGGGGGTATGGAGTTACAGCTCCACATTTCTTGACCTCGACAGTGGATGGAGATGAGTGGTCAGCTACACACCCCCGGCGAAAGAGCCCACGGTACCCCTATGATAGGAGGTTGGATGGACGCCAAAGTCCATCAGGACGCTGTGTGTAAGAGAAAATTCTTACACTGACGGGAATGAAACCCGGCCCTTCAAGCAGTAGTCCGAGATTGTACCGCCTGAGGTACTTCATTTCCGTTATATATAAGTAAAATCGTACAATATTTATTGTAAATCGCGTGACATATTTCCTGCAATATTGGGTGAAACCACTTCGTTAGTAACAATGAATAATAATGAACAAATATAACAAGACAGCAAGTTGGAACTCTTACAAGGGACAGCCCAACTGCAGGGAGTGGCGACCCTGCCTCCAGGTCCCACGGGGCCGGTGGGTAGCGCCCGGTAAGGGCATGACAGGAAAACAGGACTCGTTAGTCATGGTAGCCAACCTGTCTGAGGGAAGAACACCCTGGTCGTCCAGGATAAGGGGTTTTGCAACAGGCTGACAACCTACTCAAGTAAAAATATTTCTTAAAATTCTCAGCGATGGTTCATGTTAGAGGGCGGAAATTGGCTAACAAGTTCAACCCGCACATCTCATGATAGTAATCTCCCTCATGTTTAAGTAAACCGCACAAAGCCCGCGTCGGGGCCCCTAATGGCAACGAAATGCTTGACCGATAAAGCTAAGTATGCTCCTATGTGAATTTGACGAACCTCAGGTACAAACCAAATAATCTGACAGTATGAACCAAATTTATTATTTAATAGTAATCAATATAAATATAAATAAGACAGATCAAACTTTGTAACTTAAAAAAAAACAAGTTTTATATTTACGCACTGTATTAATGTCCCAGTGTAAGTCAATTGATTTCTTAAAGGGTCTCACAAATTTCTTCTAGAGTACTCTTCTCTCACAAGTTGTGCCACCACAAACATCGCCACTAACTGCACGTGAACATTTGAATTGCTACGCAACGACAGAAAACACGAATACATTTACAGATCATCAATTGTCAGCATGACAGAAACTTTTACAGCAGTGTCTGAAATATATTCGTAGGACATAAGTAATTTCTAGAGATATTTCTAGAGCATCTACACCCGATATGGTTATGCCTATATCGAAAAATTCTATTGTGTATAAAATCAACCTTAAATGTTTGAGCATATAATTGCAAAAATAAATAAATAATGTAATATTCAAGTAAGCAGTTTGCAATAAATTACTGCTTACTAGATTTTACAATGAATTATTCTAAGTTGACCTTTTGAAATTCATGTATGATTTTTCATTTTCTACCTCGCGGAAAATGTACTGACTCCCTATCATTTAGACCAGAATGGTTAATGCAGTTCAGAGAAATAATCCGTGTATATTCTGAGAATCATAAGCAATACTAATATGTTCTGCAGTCAAAATTCAAGTGGTATATATAGTAACCACTCTGCTTTAATAAGGCATTAAGATAAGTCGAAAATTAACACGAGAACTAAATGATACATGGAGCTACAAATCAAACGGCCATCTTGTTTCAAGGAACTGTAAATTATAAGCGATTATCGAAACTGTTATTGTCGATAATTTATGTTGTTTCTTTGGCTACCGAGTGACAGCCATGAAACTTCAGTACCATGAAGAGTAATGCTACCCTTTGACCTGGAATACGTGCTTATTCTCTTAATTCAGGACATGTTTTCATATAAAAGGAAAATATTTCACTGTCTAAATCTGCTGGGATAATTCTCTTCGCCCGCAAAGTTCGTTTCTTCTGGCTTCTGAAATTTATTTTCTCTCGCTTCTTGTTCCTGTGAATATAGAAGAAGACAGGAAATCATGAATTTGGCAAACTAGCAATAAAATATCTTCTGCAGTTCTTTATTTAGGCATATTAATTTCTCTGTAATAAGAAATTTGAAAAATAGTCTGTCCGAAAACTAAAGAGATAGATCTGCATGTAAAAGCTCAAATAAGCCTTATGATATGGCCAGAGCGGTCGGAGCGGCCGGGGCTATCGCACCGGGAGGTCCATTAAACAGAAATAAGATTAACAGAATTTATTGAGAAATTTTCAATGCATCCTGTTGTGTAATACTTGTATATGTTTCTTTATTGAAAACCGTCACAACACAACAATTAATAATATATGTTTGTAGTTATGTTTTATATTATTGTATACTATTTGAAAAATTGAATGCTATATCCTGTAATTAGCAGGCAATTCAATAGCTAAAGAAGTTTTTAAGTGTACTTACCTGATGATGGCTTCTTGAAAGTCGAAATATGTAGTAAAGTACTACTTGAAACTACAAACATATATTATTAATTGCTGTGTTGTGACGGCTTACAATAAATAAACTTATTGAGAAATTTGCTTCTTTAAGGTCACGAAAAGTTAGTTGGTATTTTTAGTTATTACAAGAGATAGAAACGAAATAAAATTAATTGTCATAACCTAAATTTGTTGTTACTGATGGGGCCACCACGTTTCGATTGCCTCGGGGCCCCCACACAGTTGTAAATTCGGTCCTGTTCTAAGCCATTAAACTCAACTAATAATTAAATTGTTTCAGTAAATATCAGTTTAACTCTACCGCAATGATTGTGATTTAATTCGGCCAGGTACTTTGGGTTTTGTTACACGCGAAAAGATAGACGGAAACGAAGAAACAAATAGGTAATTCTCTAAGCTTTCTTTTCTTTCAAAATCCACTGAAAAAGGCATCCCTGGTCGATGTGATGTGACATAGTGTAGTCTGGTAAATATTTACGGCCATTTTGGAGGATCGTTCTGCCTTCCTTTTCAGGTTAAATAATGATGTAAGCATCTTGTTCCTCCGAAACGTCAGACTACACGACATCACACAGTAATATCCATAGCCTCCACCGCGATATTCTCAAATCTCACATTCAATTTCTGTCCCCCTTAACAAATCATGAATGTTGACATGTTGGCAATGCATGCATACCTTACATACCCACCTGCTGCAGCCTAATTTGTTCATATATGATGTCCAAAGACTTCTGAATCTCCGCTGGTATAGGTGGCGGTGTGGGCAGATGAGCGCCCTCTGCTCTGAAACCTTGTTCGTCAGCTGTGTACGTAACAGTAATAATGCTGCCATCTGGCGCTGTATACGAGTAACTACCATGCTGCACTAGCGCCTCCTCGTTTTCGATGCCTGGATTCTTAAGAAAACCTGTTTCCTCTGCAATAATGTTGTTGCCTGTCTCGTAGCTGTAACATTTTATGGAAATAACAAGCAGGTCAGTTATGTCTTTATTAACGACATAAAATTATATTGGAAAGGTACTTAGATCGGCCGTACATGAATATCAGTGGCGCATTTTATACGACGATTAACACTCAGAAATTATCTGTATAGCTAATTACATACTTTCTCGCTTGGTTATTTAACTAGTCTTCCAATACTCAGACTCTGTAGCGTTAATGATAAAACAAAACAAAGAAAACAAACTCCGTGGCTTGTAGTTCGCAAGCGAACTATACCGACCGAACGACCACCGCTTGTCGGCGAAGTTAGTGCCAACTTTAGCCGATAGTTAATGTGGAGCTGTTGGTGGATTGAGAATTGGCAGAGGAAATCGAGGTACTTGGAGAAATTGTGCCCTAGTACCACTTTGTTCACCGCAGATACCACATAACCTGATCTGCCATCGAACTCGGGAAGCTGAGAAGCAGGATACCAACCACCTGAGCTTTGGCACGTCTAAATTCCTTAGAGTCTGATATACTCGTATTGGGACTGGACTTGGTCCAGTGATTGAGGCTAGCTCTTTCTAACGGACGCAACAGAATAGGTGTTTTCCTTCACCTGAGGACGGAAACAGATCCAGTTTCCGAAACGTCGTGTTTTTATTAGTTATCTTAAAAACCAGGACGATGGATAAAGTCCAAAAACCCAATATATCAGTGTGTTATACTCCATCGTCAGAATCCTATAGTAACTATTCCTTAGAGTCTGTCATGGTTTTACTCTGAATAATCTAGACGACCACTTCATAGTACCTCACAGCACGTAACGACGTCGCTCCTAGTACATAAGTCGCAGTGAACTTATGATTTATGTAGCTATGTTGAACAAAATGGGATCAAACGACCATTGACACCCATGAGCGACTTGTTTCGATCTCGAATCGGGGATCAGTTGTCTTGATTGAGGTTTAGCGTGGTTTTCTGTAGTCCTTCCAGCAAATTGGAGGACAGTACTTCATATTAGGCCAAGATCGCTTCCTTCCACATCCCTTCCAATTAATTATTCATTAGTTACTCTCACATTTGGCTCCGTATCATCTGAACTATGATAAACATTAAATAACCGCAAATAATAGATAAATATACAGATTAATAATTATGAATACATAAATAGTGTGATAAAAGTAAATATGTGCATAAATAAATATATAGGTATATAGATAAATAATTGGTGGGAAAGCCAGAAGGTAAGACACCACCGGGAAGACCAAGGCGTAGGTGGGTGGACAATATTAAAATGGATCTTAGAGAGATAGGATGGGATAGTATGGATTGGATTGATCTGGCTCAGGATAGGGACCAGTGGAGGGCTCTTGTGAACACCGTAATGAACCTTCGAGTTCCATAAAATGCTGGGAAATTCTTGAGTAGCTGCAGATTTGGCTTCTCCTCAAGAAGGGCTCAGCTCCATGAGTGAGTAAGTAATTTAGTATAGATAAATGAAAACAATTTATTAGATAGCTAGATAAATAGAGAGAGAGAGACGCATGGACGGATGGATGGATAGATTAATAAATTGTATTTTTCAAGAGCGCGGTCTTCTGGGATATGACACCCTGTTGTCTGATAGAAGCTCGCCGACGTTTCGAAGTAATGTACTGCTTCCATCTTCATTGTCGAAGATATATTAAGGAAACAACGAACAGGAAGCAAACAGAAATTTTCCTGTTTCTTGTTTAGATCCTGAAAATGGATGCTATGCATTCCTTTGAAACGTCTGCGAACTTCTACCGGAGAGCATGGCTTCATATCCCAGAAGGTTGTACTCTTCAGAGTCACTGCTGTGGGATCCTGTAATTTGAAACAGAGAGTATCCCTGCCGCTTCACGCGCACACTGTGATGTCGGAGAGATTAACAGGCAAAGACAGGATTGAAAGTAAATGAAGTCAGAGACATCTGTGGTTCCACTCAGTAACAATAACTTGATTAATTGCGCAAGAGGCAGACGCTACGTTTTATGTTACAACTTTTAACCCCCTTTCTGTGAAGGGCTAACCTTTAACAAGAGAGACCCGCTGTTCCATGTAATCATATGCATGTGTGTATGCACAATGGGAAGCTTCGTGGCGTGCAGCTTGTGGCATTTAGCATGTCCACTAATAACCTATGATGCAAAACAGGGAAATAGTACACAAGTGGGTTACATAACAAAAGAACGCTGATGTATTCGTGTACACTGAAATGTTAAACTATGTAGCATGTTGTTTATCGATAGATGCCTTCCTTGTGTGTGTTTGCGTCACTCTTCGGTTCATAAAATTTGTTATTTAACGCTTTCGAAACGTCACGTCAACCGAAACAGAAAATTTGTCTTCCTGTAGACTCAACTGGCTTTAATAGCATATCCTTGTGTTGACTTTCACGTCATGGCGGCCGTGACTGCGCCGCACATCACCTACTAGGGTGTGAAGCCGCGTAGTCTGATATAAGTTTATTGGCTTTTCGAAAAAACGTACTGCCTCCATCTTCAGGGTCGGAAAAATTAGCAACCAACAATAAAGGATTCAGAATGATTCCTGATTCCTTCTTATTGCATGATTGCTTGGCTTACTTTTCGACTATGAAGATGGAGGCAGTAAATTCCTCCGAAACTTCTAATTCCTACGAGACTACACGGAATCACACAGAAGATTGTACCGTCCTTATCTAATTTTATTTGTTTGTGGGTTGTGTAACTACTGAGGTTCTGAATCCACAGGTGTGCACGTCAAGGTACTGAAGAGAAAGGAGAACGAATAAGGGAAGAGAAGGAACCGGAAAGAAAGAAGGGATGAGTAGAAGAAGAAGGAGATGTAAGAGAAAATGGATAAGTTAATATGATAAAAAGGAAAATCAAGAATACCTATGTGCATCTTCATAAGTTGTACCATTCACCAAATATAATTAGAATGACCAAGTCAAGGAGGATGAGATGGGCAGAGCAGGTAGCATGCATAGGAAGAGGAGGAATATATGTAGGATATTTGTAGGAAAGCCAGTAAGACAGAGGCCACTAGGAAGACCAAGACGTAGGAGGGCGGATAATATTAAAATTAATCTTAGAGATATAGAATGTTGTGGTATGGATTGGATCGATCTGGCTCAGGATGTAGACCAGTGGAGGGCTCTTGTGAACACATTAATGAAACTTTGGGTTCCATAAAATGCTGGGAAGTTCTTGAGTAACTGCACAATTGGTCTCTTCTCAAGAAGGACTCAGCTCGATGGAGTTAGTCAATTTAGAGTACAGCACTGAAAAGGAAGAAGGGGATGCTGCTTTCAGATAAACGGAAGTGTACTGCTGTGCACAGAAATGTGTTACAGGGTGATGTATGTAATAATGTCAAACACACTGTGCTTTGAACGTTTAATTATTAAGTACAGTATTATATGAAGACTTTCCGATATTTCGGATGTGTTTGAAATTAAATCGTAACTTATGTCTCTAATACATATAGGAGCTGAATATCGTAGATAAATTATAAGATTCCCAGTATTAAATTAAGGGTATTGTAGCGAGGGCATGAAGCGTGAGATACAGTTTGGTGATAATATGCATTCCGAATTATTGTTATTAATTAGCCTCCCCCAATATGTCCCCTCCGATCACCTGACTTCAAAGTCGCCGTACCTTGTTTTGTAGCTACCGTCTGCGCTTTGCTCCTTGTTGAATCGAATGATTGGCACTGGCGTGGTGTAGCGGTCCTGTGACGAAGAGGGTCTCTGGTCATCCAGGGGCTGCTGCTTCCTTATCGAGCCTTGCTCATTCTGGAAGTACTGCTGCTGCCGCTGACTCTGAGCCAGTACCGTCGCCACCTGGCAGATTGCTATCACGACCTGCGTGACCGACATTGATAATTATTAGAAGATTGTGGAATGCCCCGTTGAAAATATTTACAATTGTCATCTCTAGCAACGATTTCCATACTCGTGACATGTAGACTCATTGGCAAGTAACAGCTATGCAAACAGGCGACAGTACAACAGCCATTGCTAGGGATATGTTTCCCCGGCATCGAGTGAACACACAACAATGGGAGAGATGTTTTCTGTGCGGTCCGTGCCGGGGCTATATAACGAGAACTAGTATTTCCCGTGTGGAGACGGGGTCGAATGCCTCCACCGTGATCCTGTGAGTCGTAGGAGGCGACGAAAAGGGAAGTCTCAAATCTGAGGCAGTAAAATATGGCAGGGAGTCCCACGGGACTCGGACCCGGGAATGACTGCGTGGGCGAGGGCCAGCAGCATATACAAAAGACAGACCCATCCTCTCGCCAGAGAGGGCGCCCCACGAAGACAAGACCGTAACTGTCAAACAGTAACAAATATCTAGTCATGAGCCCCAGATTGGGCTCGACACCAAGAGTTACTGACTGACTGACCGACTGTCAGTCGCAATGTGTCTTTGACTTTGACTTGTTGAGAATATTATCCGTGTGGAGGCGGGGTCGAATACCTCCACTGTGGCCCTGCGAGTCGTAGGAGGCGACGAAACGGGAAGTCCCAGATCTGAGACAGTAAAATATGGTCTCGAGTCCCAAGGGACTCGGACCCGAGAAGGGCTAAGCTGCCAAGGGCCAGCAGCATATACAAAAGGAAGACCGTCCTCTCGTCAGAGAGGGCACCTCACAAAAACAAGACTGTAAATGCCAAACAGACATAAATATCTGGTAATGAGCCCCAGATGGGGCTCGACACCGGGAATTACTGTCTGACTGACCGTCAGTCGCAATGTGACTTTGAGTTGAGAGTTTAGTTTCCCGTGTGGAGGCGGGTTTGAATACCTCCACCGTAGCCCTGCGAGTCGTAGGAGGCGCGTAAGTTCTCGGACACTAGAACTAATTCATAAATTTAATTTTCTTTTGTTTCTGTACCATGTGTATCTGGTTAGGGCACGTTGGTTTGTTGAAGCAAATTCTTTTCGAGACAGGAATATTAACAACTTCAAGACAACTGCAATTTGCTTGAAGAGCAGCTGTCGTGTTCACGGTGATATGAAGGTCAGTGAGAGTGTGACTCAGTGCACTGCAAGCGAAATATTGAAGTAGAAATACCCACTTAAACCACGGTATAAAACTTCTTGGTAGTTTGCTCACTTTTATTCCACCATCTCAACATCCGCATGGCTTATGGGAAAACTCAATCGGAAACAAAAGTGTTTCACTTTTCTTTGTTGCTTTGCGCGAAATGTTTTTCTGTCCAATGAATATTTACCGAAATCCACTCGAAAAGCTTGCAAAACGTATGCAGATTTTAGTGTAAAATACCAACCTTTATTTTCAAAATTTTAACCAATGTCAGCGAATGTTAGTAAAAAATTTAGGTTCTCACACCGGTGGTTACGAAAAGTCCTATCTCCTGAGATATAACGCTATATAGACCATTGAAAGTCAACCAATATTTCGGAAGAACATGTCGCCTCCATCTTCATGGTCTGAGAATAAGCCAAGGAAAAAAAAGACGAACAGCGAGAAAGCAGGCAATAAATTCGTTACTTGTTTGGTTTATTCTTCTACCCTGAAATTGGAGGCGACATGTTCCTCCGAAACGTATGTTTACTCACACTTTCAACAGACTACACGGCGTTATAACCCAGAAGACTGAAATCTTAAAATATTAGTGAAATCTTCCATTACAAAATTTAACAAAAATCCATTCAGCTGTTTTATAGCTGTCGCATACAGAACGTGTAGATGTGACGATGACAGTAGCACAGCCCGTTCAGCCAATCGTTGAGAATTTCCGGAACTAGTCTTCATGTGAGGTGCTAAATAGAGACTAACTCGTTATCTCGTTGTTAGTAAATGCAAAAAAAAAAAGTGAAGCTATCCCTGTAATAGGCCGTGGAGGCCCACAGATGGCGGTGAGGTTGTTAGCCTTGCGCGCCGGCCGCCCCTTACCCTCCCAGGAAGATTCCTGGTACTCATTTCTGTTAGAGACTGAGTCGACCCCAAGGCCATAGGCAGCTGGAAGGATTAGGTCAACTGAAAAAAATTCACCTCATCGGAACTCGAACCCGCGACCTTCCGGCGTGTAGCATAGTGCCTCAACCAAATATGCTATTGCATGTTTTCACGCTAGAATTGTTCTCGGCTTATTTGACCCTGAAGTTGGAGGCGACATGTTCCTGTGAAGCACTACACAGCGCTATATCTCAGAAGACGGTACTCTGCATAACCACCGGGGTGAGTACCTAAAATCCTACATAGTGGTATTTATATCGCAGTTGTGTTGATGGTAGTAAGTATGAAAGTGTTTAGAAAGAGACAGTCTGTTGGGGGACAGATGTCTCATTAATACTTGTACTTTCTTCATGGAGAAATTTCTGGCAAATTCCATTTTTCAGTGACGTCACTTGTCATGCATGTCCATGTTTGAGGACTTCTCTCTTCTCGGACGTAACACTTTGCAGTTTTGTCAAATTACACCGACATTTTGGAAGGAAACACTGCCAGCAATCCATCAGAAATGCAACAACTTTTCACAGTAACGTTCTGCCTCCATCTTCAGGCCTGAACAATAAGCCAAGCCTGCCTTTCATCTAATTATTGCTGGTTTCTTGCCTGTTTTACTCTTCGACCCTGACAATGGAGGCAGTACGTTCTTCCTCAAAGTTGTTTCTAACGTTCTGCACAGCGGTACATCCCAGAAAACAGATCTGTTTATGGCCACCACCGTCAGAACTTCAAATCACACAAATTTTAAGAGTTCTATCTTCTGCCATATAATTCCGTGTAGTGTGTCGAATTTCGGCTATTCCAGTCTGGTTTCTTGCTTGGCTAATTCTTCGGCCCTGAAGATGGAGGCGAATTTGTTCCTCCGAAACGTCTGTTGACTGTGAACAGGTTAAACTTCGTTATATGCCAGGAGATATATATCTTCATATCCACCTCTGTGAGAAACTCAGAACTAATATTTCCATTATTTCCGTATGGACTTTACGTAGTAATAAATACTATTTGTTACTCTTATTAAAATTAATCACTTGTATTATATATTCCCACATCATTCCCCCTTTTGACAGTATAACTTATCATTTTATATAAGCAGATGTCTCTCTACACGTTCAATTGTGACCCAGCAGACATTCAAACCTCATACCTCTCGAATCCAAGCGTACTACATAAACATTTCACTATCCTGAAGATTATTCTCTTATGGGTTGTGACTGAGTATAATCTCATAGATAGTTGCCACATTTTCTAAACAACCTGCTGCAGCAGTATTCATAGTAGAAGAGTACGCTCAGGGTGAAAATAGTTGTATGGGTGTAGGGGGGGAGAGAGGACACGGATCGCGGAATCGAGCGACAGTAAGTCCCTCCGAAATGTCTTTAATGACGGCGTCACATCCTAAGTATTAAAAATCTTCGCAGTCATTGCTATGAGGTCTTCAGGCGTCACGACTTGCCCGCTAATCGACATTAGAGAAAGTTGCGCGCACGTTACGGATGCAGTTCGTTACATCTCCCCGTCTACTGCTGCTTCTCGCGAGATGAGTCACTGCCAGCTGCTGTAATGTATGCGTGATAGCATTCTTTCTCACGCCCAGGTGAACGTAAACGCGTGACACGCCCATCGGCCAAATTGCAGCCCGCATAAATGCCGTTCTGATTTACCGTGAAAGAGCAGGAAATGATTGGCTTATACTTCGTCTAAGACATCTTCAAGGATGCGTCATTGTCTGCAACAACACTGTGTGCAGGTGTAAATATTCTGTTGATTTCGTGAAGATTGATAATAAATTGTGCGATATATAAACCGTGATAACTTCGGAGATTCATACGGGGCATTTTGTTGAACCTACAGGACTTTTCTTCCGTAAGGTTGCCTACTCGATGTATGACGCAACTTCAACACTGTTTTGGACACAGTATAGCAACAAAGTCTGAAACGTTCATGGTATATGAATTTCTGTATAAAGTAGAATATACATTATTGTTTCCTGGTACAAATGGCCGCTTATTTGGAAATAAGTGTCCCTCGGAAGACTTCATTTCCAGATCATTAATAAACTCAGATCAAACTTCTTATTTACCTCCACCATTGGAAGAGATCAGCGAAATTTGTTCATACTTTTTACTGGTACGTAAGGTTTTGTTACCTAACTAATTCCATGAAGCAAAATTTTTGAGATGCTAATAATTGCTGTTATTCAAAAAATTCCCAGAATTTGTAGGATCCATATAAATTCATTACCGTGTTCACAAGAGCCCACCACTAGTCACTGTCCTGAGCCAGGTAAATTCAGTCCACATGGATCTATGCCTCGCCAACGCCTGAACGGATTGCATTCATACTCAGTGTCACAGAGTTCATTATTCACATGATGGTACCCGATAAATATGAACATTGCAGCTTAAAAAATAGGGGCATTACAAATGGCTCCAGAAAAGAAAATAGCCATTTACTCAGAAACATCTCCAATAATTTTAATTAAATTTCGTTTACTGAAGGAGAAGATCTCCCTAAATAAAACTGCATAGGTCACATGTTCAGGAAGATATCGATACGTGCGCTAGAGGCCTAAACCTGAAATTCTGTCTGAACTGTCTCTATCGGTCACACGAATTTTATTGTTGTTCGGTATTCAGTCACCCACAGTGAACCCCTAGCAAGAAACGGTTCCAGTTTAGGAACACGACGAAGATGTCGAATAAGAATAAACACGTTTCAGCGTCTTCAAGTTTTAGTTCCTGAAACGGTTGAAGTGTTCTCCGTCTGAAACATTTCTGAGGGAACGTCATACCTTGAGCAAACAGCCTTACCTAACAACGGAATCTCTTGTTCCCATTCTATGCTGGAAATAGAATAGGGTCACTTCCTCATGACGAAATAACTCTCTACATCAGTATCTGAGGATGAGTATTCAGCCTAATGAAGTTTTAGACGCAATATTTTCTTGTAATTATTCTTAGTGTGGTGAAACTGAGTCCACTTGTTACTGCGGCCACTACTGGCCAATTGTACCAGATAATGGTGATTGTGGAGCAATTTGTGGAATGAAGATTGGCAGGGGAAACCGAAATACTGGAGAAAACCTGCCCCAACGCCACTTTGTTCACCACAAATCCCACATGACCAGACCCGGACTCGAACCCGGGCTGCCGCGGCGGTAAGCCGGCGACTAACCGCCTGAGCTATGGCGTGACCTTAGACGTGATATAGTCCTAACACCCCTGCACTGAAGGCGATTAGAGCGATAGGCTACAGGGATTGAGCGTTTCCTCGTGACCTATTAGCCAGTACTGCACACTGATCGCCCATTGAATGCCGTAACCCTACAGAGGGCATTAAGAGCTATATGTACGACCCTCATTACCTTTAAAAGGGGAGTAGCAGAGCGTCGCGGCGAGTGTTTGCTACGTATCGCCACCGAGATATGAGCGAGCGTGGTTTTCTTCGGTCCCTCCAGGAAGATGGCGGGATAGTAACTTGATAACGTAACGACCTTTTCCCTCCAAATCAATCATTATGTTTCATTATCCTGCCTTTCAGTGTTATATATCAGAAGTGAACAAACTGTGGCTCGTGAGCCGCATTCGAGTCTTTTGAAAATTTAGTCCGGTTAGGGGGAGAAGAATATTTGTCGGTTTACTTTTTACGGAAAATCCGCTCCGTTGTGTGACTGCACTTAAAAACCTGCAACATCGAACCTGCGTGTGGTTGCGGCTCTTCCTGAAATTTATCGCATGTGGCTTCGATGTTCAGTAAGTTTGGTCACCCCTACTGTGTGGTCTAGACCTGTGGTTCTCAGGAGTCTTTATATCACGCCCCCATTTTCATTTTCGCCACCTTCTCCACCTTAATTTTAATTAAATACTGTTCTTGCTTTCGTATTTATATTATTGTTTATAATCAAATAATCTGCAATTATCTCTACACCAAAACTCTCAGTAAAAAATTAAAATATTTTAAATGAAATTGCTGCACTGTGCTTTATATTTGATGACAAATAATGCAGACAATTATTGAAATCTAATGATATTATTTTAAACATCTGAATTAAAAATTCTGATGGATATTTACTGAAGAGAAGAGTAAAAATACAGCTAAAAAGAATTATTACAGCTGAATTTTCGAAAAAAAAAATCTCAAAGTCTCAGGCCCCTTCACGAAGCCTCTTACGCTCCCCAGGTTGGGAACTACTTCTCTGGGTAGAGACAGCGCCAAAAAATGACTGACAACCTCACCAACATTTAATGTGGCTGACGAAGTCTGTTAAGCTCGAGAGAATACGTGAGATCACGTAGAGGCTAGATGTAGCCGAGTGAGGAACTGACCGAGCTCAGAATGTATGCCGTATGAAAAGTTAATGGTGTGTTTACTCACTACAAGCTTCATTGTGGAGACTTGTCTGGTGTAAGATGCAGCTTTCTATATAGGAAATGTACCGAAGTTGTCAGACGTCTTGGTATATATATATACCTGCCTGCCTCGAATGCTGACCCTGTTAAAATCCCCACTCTTACTTGTTCCTAACCTACACGTGACTCTTCCCCTCTCGCTTCCCAGATCTGGATCTGGGCTGAGCAAAAAGGCTCACTGACTGGCCCTCTGCCTTCTCCTCCTCTGTGAAGCGTCTTCGTGGCCAATCTTCCGTTCCATTGACATAAACGTCTATGTGATTAGCTAAAATGGATGCAGAGTGAGGTTTGAGGTCCTCTTGAAGATTACTGTAATGAGTGAGGGCAAGGGGGAAGGGATAAGACAGGAATCTACCCCCGGGGTGGATTTTCATAAAAGCAAGGCGTAAAATTGCAAAAAGAAGGCAATATACCGAATACAAAAATTGAAAATATTATTTTATATTATTCTTATATCTTGAATACTCTAAGATGTTTAACAGAAACAGCCTCAAGCTGCTTAAACGTAAGTCTGTATGCAAACTTTCTGCCCCCATCATCTTGAAAAATGTCTGAGAGATTTCAGGAACTGCCCTTGTGAAATCACAAGATGTAGGTACCAAAGCGTCAGAAGCAATAACACCACAATCGGAACATCCACCGACGCGGAAACCTCAAGTTTTACAACAGCTCCCGATGAGTTTTCTCCTCTTGCCCACTGCATCCAGTTATGCACCTCCCTGGCAAGATCAGGCGGAGGTTGCAAGTTGAAATCATCTGTATCCCTGCTTTTGCTTGCTTCTTGCTTGGCCTATTCTTCGTTCCTGAAGATGGACGCCATATATTCCTCTGAAACGTGGGGCTGTCTCCGAACCGTACGGCGTTACAACAAATAAGACCGTACTTTTCAAAATCAGCTCCGTTAGAAATTCAGATCTCGCAGACTGTGCTTATTTCTTTCACTAGAGAAGTTGAGGGGCACGCGGTAGCGTAGTTGGTTGAGACACTATGTTACACGCCAGAAGGTCTCAGGTTCGATACCCGAGGAAGTCATTTGATTTTTCTATAGACGTAATCCTTCCAGCCTCACTATGTCCCTGGGGTTGACTCAGCCTCTAACAGAAATGAGTACCATGAATCTTCCTTGGGGTAAAGTTCAGCTGGCCGGCGCGTAGCCTGACCTCACCGCCATCTGTGATTGTCTACAAAATGTGGGAGCCTCGACGTCTTACAACCATATGGGCCTCCACAGCCTGTTACAGGGATAGCTTTACCTTACTAAAGAAGTTTCCTTATTGATCTATATTTGACATTGTATGACGGTATGTCTCGTGTGTACCCTAATGAGGATTTGTATAGCACATGGGTGTGCAGCACACACCCTGGTCTCACTACAACGGACTTCTTCGTGATGATATGGGTCCCAGTGTATATAAATAATGTATTGTCTGCCTAAACCATGTCTGTGGGCGCGACATCGCCAAACCAGTTATGTCATCATTAGAAAGTTACTGGATTATATTTTCAGTACAATGGGAAACAAATTTGACATACTGGAGATTATGCTGAACACACAGGACTTTACCTTCGTAAGGTTGCGTATTCAAGTTGTGACGTGCCTTAGACAAAGTCTGCAGCCACCCTGCCTGCTGTTTGCGAGCCTGCCAGTTCCTACACTGTATAGCGTCCGTTTTCACAGTGACTTGTCACCTGTAATGTTTTCATTTGGAAACGGGACGTCATTGCATATGGCGCGGATGATAATTGGTGAAATCATGTGAGCAGTAGACTGTAGTGTGCCTTCTTCACTTTCTATGTGCAATGAGTGTTTATCGATGAGAAATTTACTGCAATAGTGGCCTCTGTCGATAATACTTCTTCCTCTTAGAAGATCTGACTTAGGAGTTTTTGTGCCGTCTAAGTGCAACCTTATTCATTGTTCCTTTATTGGACACTACAGGTTTCGGCCTAACTGACCATCTTCAGGTGTACAGGAATTCTGCTGCTCACTGTAATACGGTTTTCTTTCCTCCTATTGTAGCTGCTTCTGGTTATTTTGGTTACGTGGATTACTTACGCAGGATAGAGAGGAATGGAGGGGCTTGATAAGGGAGGCCAAGGCCCGACATCGGGCTGTTGCGCCATAGAAGAAGAAGAAGAAGAAGAAGAAGAAGAAGCAGAAGAAGAAGGACTCCTTCGGCGAGTGATCAGGTGTCTTTGGCCTGCATATGGCTGCATGTGGTTTTGTTTGGTTTGCTGGTTGTGGCTGCCCTGAAAGTTCTTGCTGTAGCGGGAGTTCTGTTGTTTGTTGGTCGGCCACCATAGTCGATCGTGGAAGATGTGACCCTATAGTTGGGGAGATCTGTGCCGACGTTTAGGATGAACCTGTTGCCCATATCTTTAGAGTATAAGAGTAAAGAGTAAATCGCCGCGTGAAATTATTCCCAAGTAGTTACAACTGCTCGCTTCCGGAATTACTATGTCCCGTAACGAATAAGCGTTTTCAAGGGCCCACTCCCCCAGCCTGTTCAGATCTATCTCCAACTTTTCATATTTTTATTATTTATAATTGTCCTATATATTACACAGTCATCTACGAAAATTCTAATAGTTGACTCAATATTTCTCCCGCTGTTTAGGAGAAAAACTGCTGTTTATTTTGAGATTCACAAGGAACTTATAACTACACTCTGAAAAAAAGTGGAAAAAAATTTCTTAGCATTAAAGTAGGTGGTACATATAGTAACCACTGAGCTTGTAGGCGTCATTGCGAAATAGGTTCCGCTTGCTGTCGAATAAGAAACACTTGCCTGCAAGAATTGGAGGGGCATACGCCACACTATGACGTCACTTGAGTTTGATATTGTTTTTTGCCTCGCCCGGATGACCCGACCCGGCAGAGAAAGTTGCTCATGGTATTTCAATTCACAATTCATTATTTCGTGAACCTAAATTATAATAAAGTAAACACTGAGCGAACCATTTCACCTTATATCCTCAAGTGGTTAAACTGAAGATGGAGGTAGCAGGTTACTTCGAACGTTGATAACTTCCTGTCTGACCACAGGGCGCAAGATTTCAGAAATTTTTGTAATCGTGATATATGCGACCGTGAAAACCTCAAATCTTACACGCACAGAAATATCTTTCTTTTTTTTTCCTTGACACTAGAGCCCCAGTGGGCCTAGGCCTACCTCCATCCACCTCTCCGTTCACTTCGGTTTTTCTAGATCATACACATTCGGTAGGACTCCTTCGGCGAGTGATCAGCTCGTCGCAAGGCCTCTACCTGTACACAAACACAGAAAAACGCACACACACAAACAAACTAAACATCCATGCCCTGAGTAGGATTCGAACCCACGATCCCGGTTTCCAAGCGAGCGAAGAAGTACATGCCTTAGACCTCTCGGCTACCGTGACCGGCACAGAAATATCTACCTGTTGGAATTCATTAAACGTAAACGAGCTTTTAAAAAATAGAACGCCTTAAATAGAAAGTAAAGGAACTAATCAAAGAAACAAGTCTAAAATGCGTCCTTCAATGTCCCTCCTTTATTTATTCTTTTCCGTGCCTTTCTTAGCTGACGTAAGAGAGTGAAGTGGCCGGCTGCAACTCTACGGTCAAGGTTCGTGTCCTTGAAGGGTCGTTGTTATTGGATAAACCGATAAAATATAGTGACATACCGCTGCAATTTTTCCGTGAGACGTCATTCCAAATGTACCACAAAACTACATCTTCCACACAGAATCACTGGGCTGTTGGACTCTGTCCATCATCCGGTATTCTAAAAACTAGAAAACACAATGTTTCGGAAACTGGATCTGTTTCCGTCTTCAAGTGACGGGATGGGAAGGCACCTACTCAGTTGGGTCCAAGAACCCTGTAATTCTGAGTGTTATACACCATCGTCAGAATCTATTGGAGTCTAGATTTTTCACAGTTTAAACAGAACTCGACAGATGTCACCGTAGTGTAAATAAGTAACATTTTTTTTTCCTTGGCACTACAGCCCCAGTGGTCCTAGGCCTACCTCCATGAACTTCTCCGTTCACTTCGGTTTTTCTAGATCTTACACGAGCGGTAGGACACCTTGGGCGGGTGATCAGCTCGTCGCAAGGCCTCTACCTGTACACAAACACAGAAAAACGCACACACACACACACACACAAACTAAACATCCATGCCCTGAGTGGGATTCGAACCCACGATCCTGGTTTCCAAGCGAGCGAAGATAGTGCATGCCTTAGACCGCTCGGCTACCGTGACCGGCAAATAAGTTTCATAGTTTGGTGGAATGAAGAAGTAGTCCTTACAATTATGTAATTGCTTCTAATCAGTTTAGTGAAGACGTTTGGTTTCTGTAGAGCCATTTACCTGTTTGTATAACTTCAGCCTACTGGATTTCATGAAAGATGCTCAAGTTCTCTTGAAACAAGGCTGCCACAAAAACATACATAAAGACGCGTCCCTGAATGCCCTACATTTATTTAGAGTAAATCTTCGCTAATCCGGATTAATCAGGAGGAGGGGAGATGTAATCCGGATTAAGCGATAATTCGGATTAGTGAAGCAAAAAGTAGCTATTAAAGACAAAAGGAGAACTTAGAAAACAAATAGATGAAAAAATTTAATGATATAATTAGTGCTGGTGGAAATAAATAAAAATTGACATTATAGAGCCTTTATTTAAAAACTATAAAATGATAATAGTGTAACGTGTTTTGGGTACTGATATTCATCGATAGAAGACTCAGAACTTGTACTTGTTTTTGAACGTAATGAGGCAGGTTTGAAGAAACTGTGAAGTTTGCCTGAACATGCAAGTGACTCACGTGCCTTCCAAAGTTCCATGTGCCGTTTAGAGTATGTACTCAACTGTGAACAGCCTTTTTAACTTTCTGTGTTTTGATTCGGATTATCCGACAACCGGACTGGCTGTTACCGGATCAGAGAGGGTTTACTCTAACTAAATCTGTGCAATCGAATCGTTATTGAGAAGCCAATAGTTCCTTGGCCACTCAA